CCATTCGTACGCGCGTGAGAATCACGCTTTACAAAGGAAAACCAAATGTTCTATCGAAATACGCAGAATTGATAAAAAAAATCCTATGCGTAAATACAGATTTTGGAGTTAAAACGATATCATAGACTTTACTACGTATAAAAATCTGATTTATGTCTTCTATACCAGTTCGAATAGTGTTGAAAACATTTTGTTTTTGTAAAATGTAATTGAAAATAAAGAAATGTTTTAAAAAATAAAATAAATATGTTAATTTAATTGAAATATAAAGAAATGTTTTTTTTTAATCTGTTAATTTAATTGAAATAGAAAGAAATATTTGTTTTCTTTTCCTTTTGTTTTCAGAAGAAAGGAAATCTATATTTTCCTTAATATGTGTATAATTAGGTGGAAAGAAACTACAGTAAGTAGTATATGTACAATGTATCTAAATTTGATAAATAAAGCAAAAAATGCTCACAATTCTATATTTTATGAGTATTTTACTATTTTTGCATTTATGACCATTGTGGTCAGAAAGTTTTTGACTTTTTTTTTTCTTATTAAAGAGAAAGTTTTTGATTTATTAGCATTTAAGGAGACATTTACGAATTTAAAAGTTTTCTGCAAAAAAGTGTAATGTTTTTTTACCAAATCGAAAAAGGTTTTTGCCTTGAATGGTTAAGAATCTACTAAAAATAGAAACTAGTTACGAATTTCGATATCGTTCCAGATGGACAAATATATTATGGTTGAACGATAAGGATAGATTCCTTAACATTTATCAGCAATGAATTTTATCCCCCCCCCACAATTTGTCAAAACAAAAAAAAATACTCAAATGACATTTTTGAAACACAACTCAAACTCAAAAGTCAACCAGTAATATACAAAATCTCTGACTAAGTAAAAATGTAAAAACAAATCTCTGGCTAGCTCTGTATCTTTCTATAATCTATACAATATAAAACCGACCCGGTTAAGTAAAAATCAATGGTTCTGGTTATCTTTTTGATGGTGAAGGCGAAGAACCGCGGCTAACTTGGCTAACCGCCGGTGTATTTCTCCGGGACTGACGTTTGGTCGGCACAGTAACACATTCTTCATCAGAATCGTCGTGGCAATAACCGGAAATCTCGGACCGGCCATCTTCATAGTAGTCGTCTTTGAAAACCGGATGAATATATGCTTTCTGAAGATACGGTTTCAGATTTAAATTCGGTTCTCTTGCTCGTTCCAATGTATCTTTGATCATAGCTTCCTGTAAACCGGACCTTATGAGATCTCAATAAC